ACATGAGTCACTGGTGAAATATTCAGCTATCTAGAGCAGTGTGAATTGCCATAGCTCTGTTGCAGCTATTGGAAGGAGCTGATGTGCACCAGATGAGCGTCTGACCTCTTTTGTAGCTGGCCTTTTTTGCTGTATTATGCTCCTTCCTAGGGAACAGACTTTTATATCTTCAGTCCTGCACTTCAGATTCATCAATTCTCCTCCTTAAAATGCCTTTCCTCTTTGTCCAAATATATAATTTCATTTTATTGGGCTGCTGGGACACTGAAGAATTTAAGGGGCTGTATTAAGGCCCTCCGAAGGATGCTTGAACAGTGACAACTGGAGCTTTACGTGCTTATTTCTTAGACTGTATTTTGTCTTAGCCTCTGCCACCTTGTTTTCATCAGTTATCCAAGGGCTGCAGCTAGGTCAGCAGTGCTGAAAATTGTTTAGAGAAGAGTAGAAATCATTGAAATCCCACAGGCAGGACCTGGAGACTCCAGGCTCTGTAGAAATCCATCGCTAAGTGAAGCAGCTTCCAGTTCTCATCTGTGCTTGGCTGTCTCCTATGGGTCTCAGCACAGGAGCCTTTACCCCTTGGTATTTAATTCCTAGGATAAGCCGTGATATCTGTGTCGACCTCTGGAGAGGGAGAAGCCCTGAGCACAGTGGAAGGGCATCCTTTCCTCTGCACGCTGTACCCGGCTCCCTGCAGGTCTGAGTGCGGTCCTCCGAAGGACACGACTGAGTGTTTATTCAGTGCTAAGAATAAGCTTCTCTTCCTGGGAATGTGGTTTTGCTGTGCATTCAGGCAGCTCTGTAGCATCCTCTTTTCCTGCTGGAGAAGGTAATGCAGTGAGACAGGGTGGTGCGCTGCCTAATGCTGTTTGCACAGGATATATTGATATTAATGGGGGGAAACATGGCAGTAACTTCATCCTTGTAATTGGCTGTATGCAGAGTGCCTTATTATACCTCTCACAACCTCCTCACAATGCAGATGCTGGTGATTTTCTGGTTTAAAGACAAACCAAGGAGAAAGAAGGAGATTTAAGCAGTTGGTTAATGGTGGGCAGATCAGCTGCAGTGCTTTGCTTTGCTTTGGCTGGGAAAATGATTTTTTTCCCTCACCTTTCTGTGGGATTTAAGGTATTTTTCAAGGAGATGCTGCTCTTGAAATTATCCTTATTCACTTTATCTACTGTAATGACTTGCTGCAGGATAAGATGGAGAGTTTGTTTTATGTTGTTTGTTCATATAGGGAGGCTTTGCTCCCAGTAAACCTGCATCCCTTGGATATAAATGCCAGACTGGTGGGTTCTGTTTTAAATGATGAGACAGCTGCAGAGGGCACCTGGAATGAGCTGGGAACATAAATGCTTATTCATTCCTCACCTCGTGACCTCAAATATTTAGCAATAATTGCACATAAACCATAGGATGACCAAGTGCTGTGTCATTAAGTCCTGAAGGGCTTTGGATGCCCTTTAGCTGTTATGAAACCAAATATAGAAGAATGGTTCTGCACTGCTAAGTTTGGTGACCTCTTCTTTAGGCACCCACATGTCTTGGTGGTTGTATTACAAGGACAGGTCAGCTGTGCACCATAAATGTGTCTCGGGATGCTGGTGAGGTTTTTGTTTCCATTTTGAAGGGTGTTGTAAGGCAGAAAGTTGAAGAAAGGGGGTATTTCTAGGGCTGTGTTCAGTGAAGATGCTGAAAGCTTGCTAGTGGGATGTGTGTAATTTCAGTTATTAAACTGCCCTGCTAAAACCTTTTCAGCTTATGCTCCATTGAGATCTTTGGGGGGCTCCTGCCTGTTTACAAAAGGCAGTTGGAAAAGCAAATCTGTTTTCAGCAGTGCACCAAGTGTGCAGCATCCTCTGTGGCTCCACTGGACAAGGGGTCTGTGGAGAGGAGGATGTAGGTGCTGCCTCACTTGAAGTATGCAAACCACTGCAGATATGGCTCTTATCAGAGCAAGGACACCAGCCTGGGTGGGGAACTGGTTTCTTGTTGACTGGTGGGTGCGTGGTCCAGGCCCATAGAGGAAGGAGCAGGTTGGGCATGGTGTGGGAGAGCATCCCCTGCTTTTCTTCCTGCAGATGTTCTTGAAGGGTTGGCTTTGACCTCTGGGGATGTCCAGGCAAAGCTGTTCCTGAGCAACCAAATGAATGTGGCAGAGCCCTTAAGAGTTTGGGCAGGTTTCCAGATGGAAAATGGGAAGTAATGCTCAGTCTTGTTCCAGGGCTCTCCACGCTGCTGGGTGCAGGCTTCTGGGCCTCACTTTGGCTACTTGGCTATTTAGGGTTTGCCTGTGTGTACTGGGTCTGTCACCACCCTCCTCTGGCTCAGCAGGAGCTGGTCTCTTTGGGAAGCCCCGTGCATCTCAAGTGAAAGAAGGATCCTGTGTAACGCTGCATAGTAATGTCATTCATGAAGAGCAAGTAAAGAAAAAAGCTTTCATAAAGCAACAGCCAATTCAGTCCTTGGATGAAGGCCAAGCTCAGTGCAAGCTTGCAAGGAGTACCCTGCAGGACCTGGTTTTGGTCAGTCTGGTCTCTGTCCAATGTGCATGATGCTGTCGGAGCTCCTAACAGGAGCTTGCTGAGTTTAGATTTGGCTCAAAAGTCCAGGGAAATAAATTGATCAGGCGGGCAGGAATCGGAGCTGCTGCTGTGTGAAGTTCATCCTTCTGGAAGGAGCTGGAGACGTTCATGCTGTTGAAGTCCTACTCCAACTGATTTCTTAGTGATGAAGAGCAGCACGAGTGCTCTGTAGGGCTTCAGCTTCCTCCTCGCATCCTCTTTGATTTCCAAGAGCAAGCAGAGATGAGACATTCATGCATATCTGAGCAGAGGTTATTTCCTGTCCTGCTGGTTGCCTGTGGGGTTTGTAGTTTGTTTGTGCAATACCCAGACTATTCTATTTCAGTATATTGCTTTGACCTAACCCATCATCCCTATGGAGGTATAGGGGATCTCTCTCTAAAATGAAGATGAATTAATTGCATGTTGTGTTTGGAGGCTCTCAGCTTGTGTTTGAATCATCCCTTACACAAATGCTGCACCAGTGAGGGTGGAGTTGCTCAAAGGGCTCCAAGAAGGGCATGATGTGCTGAGCCTGCTACCTCTTTGCAGCAGGTCCGGCTTCACTGCATGCCCATCACCATACTCTGACCTCTGTGGGAGCTTTGGGCAAGCATTCTGTTCATGTATAGAGCTGTGAAATCTTCTGTTTTCATGTCAACCTTCCTGTCGGTGCACTGCACATTTAGCTATACGATGATCACAATGATGAGCAGCACTTAACTCGCCCAGCACCGTACACTTCTCCCCTATGAGATGCCCATGACTGGCTCTGCTGACTGCTGGGGATCCCTTGACAAAGGAGATGATGCTCACACAGGTTCTGTCCCAACAGCAGCCAAGCTTTTGGACAATGGGCTCCTCTGCGGCCGTTTCTGTTCCTGCCCGGCCCCAGCCCCAGCCTGGCCCTGCGCTGCAGGATGGTTTATGTGCAGTGCTGTGAGCGAGGCGCAAGCCCCTGCACCCTGCGTGGGGACCGGGCTGATGTCAGGAGTCTGGAATTTGCATCCCCTCCCCCTGCCTTTGCCTTTTTCCCCTCTCCTCCCTAAATCCATGTTGGAGGCAGCTGAGGAGCTGGCTCGGTTGAATCTCTTGGAGCACAGGGAGGTAACTGGAAGCAGAGCTGGAGCTTGGTTGTGATTTTAGCTGTTTAAATGCAGCTTGGGCTCTGTGTGTGCAGATATTCCTGTGTGCAATGAAACATGATTGAAGGCGGTGGGAAGATCCAAGTGTCAAGGACAGCTTAGACAAATGTGTGTCATCCATATACTAACAGGGATGAGAGATGAGGAAGCAGCACAGCTGTGTGCTGCTCAGGCCAGGCTCTCAGCTGGTTTATCTGCAGCGTTGACTTGGATCTGCCATATGTTTGTAATCTCTCATGGAGAGCCCAGCTTCTCAGGATTGTGGAAACTTTTAAACACTGCCTAACAATGTACACGGATTTTCCATGCAAATATTAGGCTGATCTTCTTGGTAACCAGAACTTTTCATATTGTAAAAGATCTGTTCGTGCTCTTTCTTTCCATTGCCTGGGGTGCTTGTGTTCAGTGCTGATGGCCATGCTGTAGCCCTTCCCTATGGATGAAGCCAGTTGCATATGGCACATCCCTTGCAAATCCTCTCAGTCTTTCCTGCACTGGGAGATGTGTCCTTTTTGCAGCAGCAGTAATGCCACACTCCTCTCTGAATGCAATTGGGCTATTTGTAGTTGTTCTTTGAGCTGCATCCCCACCTTGTGTTGCCTTGTCTCACCCCGGGCAGGGTTAGATGCTGTGCTCAAATGCTATGAGGCTCGGGGCTAGCCCATGGGCAGCAGGACCAGCCATCAGCATCAAAGCACCATGCTGGGATCCTGCTCTGCCATAACACCCTGAGGCATGGCTCGTGGTTGACCTGTTACCTCAGCTAGTGTGAGCTGGTGTGTGGTTGTTTTGTGTGGTGTGTGTAACCCTCCAGGGAAGCTGGTTCAGGTGTTTGCTTCAGAGCAGCTTTTTGGTCAACCAACTTAAGAAAAAGGAATGGGAATGTTTGCATCAGCATGAGGGCAACTTCTGATTTAAAGCCTTTCTCTCAGATCATGAATTTCCTGTCTAATGCTTAATCTCCAGGATGTAGTTGAATGATGGAGATTGAGTGAAGACATCCAGCAAATCTAACTTCTGTAGCTGACAGTGTGCACTCCCTTCTGCCCTAGTGCAGACAGCTGTTCCTCTCTGCACTGAATTAGCATCTCTGACCCAGCAGCACAGTGTCCTGGCTTTGAAGCTGGTATTAGCACTGTATTTGCAGATGTATTGAAAACATATTTCATCTGTTTTTAGAACTGTGATGATTGATTTGTGTGATGCTGACTAATACCGATTTGGATCTGAACAAGTACCACTCCTGTTGCCTGCTAATTCTTGTTTTCTCGTTTTCTTTTTACAGCTGAACCTGCAGACCTCTTGAAGGTATTAGATTTTCATAATTTACCTGATGGTATAACAAAAACAACAGGGTTTTGCACAAGCAGAAGATCTTCAAAAGAAGCAGATGTTGCTTACAGAGTAACAAAAGATGCTCAGCTTAGTGCACCGACAAAGCAGCTGTATCCTGGTGAGTCCACGGCTTTTTATGTGTCATATGGAAATATCTGATGCTTTTCTCACATTCTGCAGGCACATGTTAGGGCACTGCATGATTCCTTCTCTTTCCAAGTGTGCTTGGATAATCCCTTGGCAGGGAGTGATTCCACTGCACACATTCAGCCATCAAATAACATCCCAGTAAGTGGTTCTTTTATCATTGCACTTGCACATGGTGATGGGCTTCACGGCAGATGTGGCCAGTGCCTACATCTGTTCTTCCCATGCTAGGAAGTTTCTACTGTCTCATTATCACCGTGATGTCCAGCTGGGGAGAGGACTTGGAAGATGCAAAGGAACGCAGGCTGCATCGTGTTTGTGGCATGCCAAGCACAGTGGGGTCTTACTCTGTGGCTGTGGTGTCTCTCGCAGCATAAATAATCACCATGTAAAAAGCAGACTGCCCCATGAGAACAGATGTCCCAAGGAAAGAAGTTGGAAGAATGGGAGGCTCATTGGGGAAAGCCACTAAGATGCAGAAGTTCCCAAAGCCGTTGAAGAGCGCCTGGGCTGCTGCTGCTGTTTCATTTGTCACTGAGGATGCACCGGGGTTCAATTTTTCAGCCCAATGGACAGTCAGTGCTGCAGGGTAAAATGTGCTTGTAAAAAGACCAGACACACTATAGACCCAAACTGCTCACTGCCCAGAAGCTTCAGTCTTGAGCATCTACCGTACAGGTACCACAAGAACCACTGCTGCATCCCTGTTTTACATGGGGGAGTGCAGGGATGCTGGGAGTAGGACTTTGTAGGTCTGAGGAAAATGCCTTTGCTGAGGAAGCTTTAGCAGTGAGGCAGAAAGATGCTGAATATAACTGCTGTGTGAAGCAGTGATGACTTAAGCAAAGCAGATGCACACACACATCTTCCTTTGGTGTGTGTGAGAGAATGAATGATAAAAATGCATTAGCTAGATCCCTGGTAATGTGCTGTGCCACCCCTTCTAATGAGCATGCTGTATCTATTAAGAGCCAGCCTGTCAGTGGCCTGACCGAGGATGCTGAGGCTGGACCGCTGCTGCTCTGGCATCCTCCAGCCCTGTATTTCCTTCATTGCATCTGTTATCATTAAGGTTGTTTTCAGACTTCATTATTATCCTGCTGTGACAGTAAGCAGGTGAATTATGTTTAACCTGTGGTGAGCAAGAGCATACCCTGTGTCTCGCATATGGGATGAGAGCATCTGTGCCTGTGCTGTGGGCTGGTAACCCTCCATGGCACGGTTAACCCTTAGCAAAGGGGCTGCTTGGCTTTGCCTAAAGCCCTGTTTCAGTGTCTGCACAAGTGCAGAACAGACCCTGGATTTGTCTTTGTTGCTGCCCTGGGCAGGACACTCCTTTCTGACTATAGCTGATACCATCATGTGCTCAACTGCACCCCTCAGCCAGGTTCTGCCTTCATGTCCCAGAGGATTGTGCCTGTGGATGTGTGGAATGTTCATCCAGGGATCAACATTCATTCAGGAGCCCTGCAGTGGCCCCTGCATTCATCCATCTGTCCCAAGGCAAGACCAGCTCAACCTGACCAGTGCATGTCTAACCACTTTGATGTACTCTCTTTCCATGTACCTGAAAGGGCTTGAAGTTTTGGCCTAACTGGCATCTTCTGCTTCAGAAGTGCTTCAAGGAAGTGGTTCCAGTTTGGAATACACAACTGTAGTGGGTTTGAGAGCTTCCCAGTAGTTGTCGTAGCCACTGTGAAATCTTGCCTGATCACCACTAGCAAACAGTGATGATCCCAGGAAGTAAAGACAAGGATGGAGTACTCTGGTTAATGTACTAAGGAGACCGGATGGCACCAGTTATGACAGAGGTTAACAGAGCAAGGCAACGTGCACAGCTGAAGCAGGGTAACAGGAGAGAACTCAGCATCACAGGAGATTTTCTTACTGTTGTCCCACCTTACTTACATATCCTCATTGAGTTCTTGGTTCTGCATCTGCTGGCGTCCTTGGGTGAGAAGATCTGGATGGTGTTTCCTTGTGTCATCAAGCAACTTTACAGTCATTTAATCATCTGGACAGCCATGGGGTGATGGAAGCAGCTTTGTCCCTCTCTGGAGGCTTCCAAAGTCATTGAGTGTTCTCTGCTGTTTGCTAAGGAAATGGGAAGAGTGAAGAACCCCCAGTGTTTTCCATCAGATGAACAGATGTTTGCTCAGTGCATCTCCATAGCTAGATGTGATTTCAGCTCACACCACCAACTGAATGAGAGAGGAGATAAAGATGATAAAGTAATTGCAGTGCAGCATACCAGGGGAATGTGGGTTTAGTGCTTTCCTATTAACAGGCGGGTTATAGAGCACCCGAGGCAAACATACACTGCACGTGATGGTTTGTGCTCATTAGAAGCTGGTGCTTCTCCAAGATGGCAGTTTGATGGGCTTTGCGTTCTGCTGCCACAGCTGGCAAAGCAAGATACATGTAAAAGTGGATCTGTTTTTACAAGCTCACAAGCGTGAGAACTCCTGCTGCGATGCTCTTTGTCCTCGCTCCTCAAGTTCTGCTTCCCAGCAAAAGCAGAGGCAAGAAAGGCAAAGTTTTCAGTGGCAAACAGCAAAATGTCATTGGCATTCTTCAAGCAAACTCCATATTCTCCATGCTTCCTGTGGGTGTCTGCATATGTGTATGTTTAAGAGCTCAAACCTCTCTATCATGGCTCGAGTAGCCCTCTCTGAGGAAAACAAGTCATTCTGAAGCTGAGTCTGCTCAGATGAAGGAAAAGGCCAGAAGCTGGTGGCACCCTTGAAGAGCTGTTTCCCTCTGAAGAGTGGCTCTGGGATGACACCATCTCCACACCAGATCTGCTTTGTGTTTGTGTTGGGAACTGGCTCGCCTCATTGCTTTTGCTGACTTTTTGCTATTCAGCAGCTAAAGCTTTTCTTCCTTCCCAGCTCAGCAGCAGGGCTTGTTATTTCAGGCTGTGCTTGGCTGCACCTGCAGGGTCTGGGTTAAGATGGTCCTATCCGTCCCTGTCCTGAAGAACATGAGCTAGTACAGAAGCCTTTAGTTCCTGGTCCTGATGCTCGGGATAGCAGCAGCTCAGCCTGGCTCTGCTGGTGTTGCATATTGGGGCATACGAGGGGTGCAAGGTGCTCAAGTGAACACACAGCATTGATGTGCTGTGCAGGAGCTGTGTGGGATGGAGGGGCTGTACCTACCCTGGACCTCCTCAGCTCTTCCCAGGCTTCCATCTGCAGGACTGGGGCCTTAACCCTTCACTGCCTTGCAGGCAGTTGCATGTGGTGAATGTGAAAGGACTTGGCCATTGGGTAAGAAAGTGATGCTGAGCTAAATCCACCATTGGAGCAGTGCTGTTTGAGTGATGGGATGGTTGTGCAGCATCTCTCAGCATGAGCTCGTTTGAAGAAATGAAGATAAGGGCTTAATCCCAGCCCCAGTGTTGAGGGGTTGTCTCCATTGTCTGTATCAATTGACCCAAATCCTCTTGTATTTATTACTCTGTATTTATTAGTACTTATTAGTGCTTCGTATATTTATCATGATGCATTTATTAGTATTGCTGCCGGTGTGGCTGTGTTTCCATACATCATTCAATAGCCTGGGTCACTTCTAGCTGTGACAGTGAAGCCATTGTTGTTTTGCCAGGACAGCAGAGCAGTACAGAGTAATGTCAGCTATAATTCATCCATTATGGTTATTTGGGTTGAAAAACTCGCATCGCCATGGAGACATCTTAATAATGAAAAAAAAATTAAAAGCAGCTTTTTTAATGAGTTGGCAGCTTGTCCAGGCTGAAGGTACCATTGTGGCTTCCTAATGACATTTTGGACATGAACTATTTTACATAAAAGGCCCAAAACTGTAGCCTGTAATTGGAACCAGGAAGGCGTATGGTCTTGATTCAGCTCTACAGGAGGATTTGTGTACAGCAGGAGGGAGATAAAGCTCAGTGGTTCCTATGGGAGGCAGGATAATAGGATGCCTGCATTTGCCAAACATCTAGGTCTGTGTCCTAGGGGGAAATCAGGCTATAATCATGGCATTTCATTACTGGCTGTGAGTCTTCTATTCAGAACACTGCCTTATGCTTCTTTCCAAAGGCTGCTCAAGTAAGGTGAGGGATATTAACTTGGTGCAAGCAGTGCATGTCTCTGTAGGTATCCTCAGCTCTCCCCCTCTGTGTCCTCTGTTTGCATAAGCTGTTTGTAGCAGTGCTGGGTTTGATGCAGTAGAGCCTGCTCCTGCCTCCCGCTCCCTATGCTAGGCAGGCAGATGCATTTGGAGCACTGGTTATAGAAGCTGAAGCAAGTCCCAGGCAGAAGAGGAGAGGTTAAGCTCTTGTGTTTGAACTTGATGGTTTTGCTGTGGTCAACGCTCCCATGGTCCTGGTCCCCTCCCTGGGTCAAAATCCCTTATGCAGCCCTGGGGTACTACCTAAAAAGAGCCTGCAGGGCTGCATGAAATCGATTTGAAGCTTATGGGCACAGAGCTCGACAGTTCTGGTGGTTTACATGGCTGTGTGTCTGCAGTTTGGAGCTGAGGGGTTGTGGTGGTCCCGTCCCTGCTTGCTGCTGGCTGCCACACGTCGCTGGTCCCAGCACAGCCCATGGTGCCTGTGGCCCGGCTGCCCCACTTTACCCTGCCAGGGTTTAAGATTTCTCAAGCAGATACCCAGGGGTACAATGCAACCCTTGTTCCTGAAAGCCTGGACCTCAAAGGAAAGATCCCCTGCAAGTCTCACACTGCTGAAATACAGCATCTGAGCAGGTTATGCCCTGTAGGTCCCCTCTTTGGTGGTCATTTGAGCAAGAAATCCCCTTTACTGCTCCTGGTGTTAAGATGTGCAGTTTGGGATGTGCACCCAGGATGTTCAGTTTGGGCTCGTCTTCCCAGTCTGAATGGCAGAGAAATCCCAAGCAGGGGAGTTGTGTCCAGCCCAGGGTGTGATCTGTGACTTGAAAGCTGACATGCATTTGTCCAGTGTTTCAGGAGACTGACCCTTCCTCCTGCGGAGAGCATCTGCTCTGTGCCGACAGTGCTTGCTCCGTACTTTAAGCTTCCAAGCCTTGCAGAAGCACAGACAGGAATTGCCTGAGATCAGACAGGGTGGCTCTCCTGAGTGCAGAAAGGGCTAGGAAACGTTGACTGCTTTTTAACATGCACACAAATCAGTGTCCCCTGCTCAATGCCGGGTTTATTTCTGTCTGCACCAGTCCCGAAAGCCGAAGCCACAGACACCGTTCTCATCTGGAGCAGACACAACCTGATGCAACTTCCCTGCTCCCTTAAATAACCCCCTTCAGTGTTGTGTGTGCTGAGCTGGCGCTGGGCTGCTTCCTTTCCTCTGTCCCTCTGACATCTTAAGTTAATTTGGGGACCTTGTGATACGTGAAACAAAGTCTTTGCCTTGTCTCCTAAAAAGCTCTAGAACACGCTAAGGAAGGGTTGGGTGCGAATAGTACAGATTTAAACCAGCAGGGGTTTTAGAGTCCCTGTTTCCTGGCACTATGGTCTCATCCCAAAACAGCAGATCCCTTGCCATCCTTCGCTTGCAAGTTCAAACATAGGGTGGCTTTTGGCTCTGTGACAGATTGCAACAAGGGCTGGAAAATGGCTTTCTGATCATAAATGAATGATGCTCAGAGATGCTTAATTCTGTGCTTGGCTTTTTAATGTGCCATTAGAGCAGGTAGCCCTTGGGGACTCTGCTCTACACTGGTTTGCTGGTGCAGTTTACTTTGGGGTGCAGCCCATCCCAGTCCTTTATCCCAACAGGCTTTGGGGGGAAAGCCTAATCTTCACCTGGCAACTAAGATGCTGCCCTATGTTTTTTGGGCTGCTGATCTGCACACATCTGGAAAGATAAACCAGAAGTGTCCCCAGGGGTTATTAGGCAACAGGGCTGCTTCTGTAGGGTTTAATCTTCAAAGAAACCTGCCTAACCTCTTTGCTTTTCCACTCCAGCTTCCCCATTCCCAGAGGACTTCTCCATTCTAACCACTGTAAAAGCGAAGAAAGGAGGTCAGTCCTTCTTGATCTCAATTTACAATGAGCAAGGGATCCAGCAAATTGGTGTGGAGTTGGGTAGATCTCCTGTATTCCTGTATGAAGACCATACAGGAAAGCCAGGCCCAGAAGACTATCCTCTCTTTAGAGGCATTAACCTAGCAGATGGCAAGTAAGTGAAACTTTGTGCACAAAGGAAAAAGTACGTTGTTTATATGAATACCAGCATGCTGAACGTTGTGTACACTGGGAGGCATGTATGTTTAAATGTATATATGCACCTTTGACTACTGCCAAGTGTCCTAATCTTGAGCTTTGCCCTTTGCTGAATCAATACTGCACCCATAAGGTGAGAAACACCACTCATTGCACATAGTCTGGCACTTATGGGGGCAGGAACAGTGACTTCTGTTGCAAAGAGCCTGAAGAAATCGGTTTATCTTGGAAAATCCGACTGAGTCTTGCAGGATGTGAGGAGGGTGGAAAAGGGGAATAGCCAGGGAGTTATTGGTGGGTTTTTCCCCGCTGCTTCTTTGTGAAGCCAGAACTGGGGTGCTCCTACCTGTTCTGGAGGGATGAGAAGTGAATGGCATCATCTGTCAGTCAGCCTCTATTTCCAGTGAAGTCTTCAGGCTCTCCCCAGGATGGTTTTCATGGGGTTGCAGATGGTGGCTGGCATGAAGATTTGCAGACCCCCAGCTCGTGAAAGCTTTGTTGTTATACAATTGTTAGCTTGCTCTTGAAAGCCCAGGGCCCTGCTTAACACCTCTGGGGGCTGTTCTTCTAGGTGGCACCGAGTAGCTATCAGTGTGCAGAAGAAAAATGTCACCTTGATTTTGGACTGTAAAAAGAAGATAACCAAGTTCTTGGACAGAAGTGACCATCCCATCATTGACGTCAATGGCATCATTGTATTTGGAACAAGGATATTGGATGAGGAAGTCTTTGAGGTAAGTCATGCCAATGGACAGCTCTGGAGATGTTCCACAGAGGCGATGAGCTGGTCTCTGGTTGATGGGGTATTTGCAGCTCAGTTTTGGACCTTGTATTGTGGTTTTGCGCAGTGGAGCACTGTTGTATGTCTTTTATATCTTTGTAAGCTTTTGTTCCAACTAGGGAAGTTCTTTCTGTAGTAATGATGCAAACAGTGGGCCAGATGTCCAGCTGGAGTGAGCGCCTCTGCTCTTCATGCTCTTGCTGGGGCTCACGCTAGCCCCTGCACTGGGATTTTGTGTCTCTGTAGCTCTTCAGCTCATTTAGCATGGGAAAGTTTTCCTTCATCCCTGTTAGGATTTAGGTGGAGTTGCAGGGGCAGTAAATGGAGGCTGGGGAAAGCAGCTCCTTTGCAAGTCACAGTTCACTGCGGGGCTGGAGGGATTTGCTCTTTCACATGCATTGTCCATTGGTTCTTGGTTTCTTGCACCATGACATGAGGGGTCTCCTCACCAGCTTGCCTGGCAGCCCTGTCACCTCCCACACAGCAACTGCCTTCAAAAATCAAACCAGCATCGTGATGGGCAGAATGTTAACCATGAGCTCCTCTCATTTAAGCAAAGAGATAGGGGATTATTTATAGCCAAGGCACATATGGCAGAAGTTCTTCCCATAGTTCAGCAACTAGTTTAATATATGCATTTCACCAGCAATCTGGACTTCAGTGCTCTGCTGCACTTGGGAGCCTTTCATGTGTATGAGAATCTTGTCTCTGATCTGTCTTGCAAGCTAGGATTTCTTCCCTGAAATCAGTGCCAGTGCATTGGAGTGTAAACTAAGACCTATTGATCTCTATCTCCTTAGTTTTATTGCATTTATGTGGAGGAAGAGCTGTATCTCCTGGGCCTCCCCAACCCAGCAAAGGGATGGGGCGCATCTCCTAGCACTGGATAATTGGAGCTGAAGCCAAGCCAGCTCTTGTCTGCATTTTGCTGTCACTCAGGAGGAAAGTTCCAGTCTGTTTAACATTACCAACATCTGGGAGCTGGTCTGCTGTAAACAGAGCAAGAACGCGTGGACTAAAGGTTGCTGCCAGAAATCCAGTTACAGAGTCAGAGCTGAAGCTCTAAATTATATTAAATTAACAGATATTCCCTGGGAAGGTTAAAGATTAAAATGGGAAGTAAGAGCTGGGTTTAATGGGCAGTGGAGTGTCTGTTGCAGAGGTTGGACCTTTGGCCAAAACCATCAGTGGTTGTGTGGGATGCTGTGTTTTAAGTGGAGTGCCCCTGAGGTCTGGGATGTTCCCAGGTGGGTTTTAGAGCTTACCTGGATTTTGGGTTGCTGATTCCTCTGCCAGCCCACGGAATGCACAGTGATGGGAGTCAGCGCTCTTCCAGCACCCAACAGCCCTTCCCATGGGGCTGGCCACTGAGAAGTGGGCAATTACCAAGTGTTTTCTGTGTCCTAAAGCAAATGTTCTGATACTACACAGCATGTGTATAACCTCCCTCTCTAGTCCTGGGGTCTGTCCTTTCTTCTTTTGTCACTCTCGCCAGACAAAAAGGGTTTTCAGTGCATCCACACACTAATCAAGACACCAGCAGCTTTAAACTGGGTGTAATGAATAGGTCCCATGAAGGCAGTGGACTATAACCTAATTTCCTTCATAACTCAGCAACTTAATTTCCTTTGGTCCCTCCTTTCTTTCTGCAAGCCTAAGCAGAAACTGTGTAGGGAAAACCATGCTCAGAACAATGGGAAATGGGTGTTCACTGTCCAGTGATGTATTCCTGGAAAGCTGATAATTTCTGGCCTGAGTGCAGAATGATGAAATGAGGCTGCTGCTTGTGCTGGTGGCAACTGCTCTGCAAACCTCAGCTAACGTGATGCTCCCCAGGGCTTTCTGCACCCAGGGATTTGGCTAGTTCTCCGTTTGTCCCTTTTGCTGCAGATTAGCATGGCCTGGTTTGCTGGGAGCGGGGTGGAAGGCATCGCTGGGCTGGGCTGCGTGGATCAGCAAGAGTTGTAAGTTGTGGGCATTCATCTCCTCGTGGCCAGGACTGAAATCCAGTAACACCCCAAAACACACGTTGGGTTGGAAGCTGCAACTCCACAAGCTCCAGGTGCAGCTGGGGCTGCAGGAGGAGCAGCTCTGCTGTGTTTGCCCATTGAGCACCCAGATGGGGACTTCCTCATTCATCCTCTGCTGCAGCAGGAGCCCCTTGGGGAAGGTGAGAGGAGTTCCCGAATGTTTCTCCAGGACTTCCTTCCATTACCAAGCAGTCGGCTGGGGCTCTGTGGGTCTCTGTATGAGTGCAGAGGTTTGAGAGGGTCCCAGCCTGGAGGCCAGGCTGCACCAGTGGGGTTTTGTGCTGAGCTGCTGTTCAAAACACAGGGTTACAAACGTCAGGACAGGCTCTCGCACCGGGGTTGGGAAGTGGCGGTGGCTTCAAGCTCTGACTGAGGGGATGCTGTTGTGAGACGGCAAAGGGCTCTCTGCAGCCAGAGTGAAAGAGGAAAGAAACAGCTGTGGTGCAGGAGAAACACTCTCTCTGCTTGCAGGCTGCAGCGAGCAGCACTCCTGCAGCTACAGCAGCACAGGAGGAAGTCAGATGTGAATGATCTTGGTTTTAGGGGCTTTAACTGTTCTTTGGGTGGGCTTGTTTTTTAAACCATGGCCTAGCATGGTCTGGTGGTGTGGGAACAGGGAGGATGAAGTTTGGGAAAATCGCTTGTCCAGAAAGCAAAGCATCCTCTGCCTGAAACCCAGGGAGATCTTCCAAGCATCCTGGTGATGTCACCCCACTCAGCAGTGATGCCCTGCAGGAGCTGCCCGCTCCAGGCCTCTGATATCCTGCAGGCATCACTTTTCTGTGCAGGATCCCACCAGTTCTTGTGGGGAGAACAAACTGAAGTGTGAGTCCTCCTCTGGCAGCAGCGTGTTCATCCCGGGGCTGCCCCATCAGCCTTTGCTTGGACTGATGGATCCCTGGGAGCCTGTGCTGGGGCAAGAGCTGAGTGAGCTGAGCCCTTGTCAGGCCAAAGCTTTGCCCTATTCAGGGTTTACTTGGCTGTTACTGCTGCACATTGTACCATCAAACCTGGCTGCGGGCTATTTGGTGCTTTAATTTGAGAGCATCCTTGGAAGATGCTCATGCCGGGGCGCTTCTGCTCCATGTGTAACTTCATAGAATCAGAATAGTTAGGGTTAGAAAGGACCTTAAGATCATCAAGTTCCGACCCCCTTGCCATAGGCAGGGACACCTCACACTAAACTTGTTGCTGGGTTCAGGGGGCAGCACTTACCTCCCTGTGCCCTCCTCCTTCTCTCAGGGCAAGCAGTCTGGCTCCGATCCCGTCTCTCTCAGACCCCGTACCCAAAGCCTGGTGCAGTTTGTGTTTAGCCATAACAGTGTGCAGCTTTATCCATCTGAGCATCCAGGCAGACAGCACCTCCCCTGGGTGGGCTTTCACAGCCTGCCCCTTGCCGTGGTGGGCTGATGGAGCAGCAGCTCGGCTGGCCCTGCGCTGAGGCTGTTGTGCTGCTTTAGCAGATGTGGGTTGAGGCAGAGTTCAGGCCCTGGCTCAGGAAGGTCGCTGGAGCTGCGCTTCGGTCCCAGCCGTGCCTGGTTTACGGCAGCGAGCAGGAGTCACGTAACGCGCAGCTGGAAGAGCTCTGTGCATGGGAAGTGCTGCACAGTGTCTGGGGCAGGTCAGAGTTACTGTCCTGGGGCTGGATTAGGTGAACTTAACCCCTTTGCCATGGTGTTCTGAAGCATCTCCTGTAATCCCATAGGAAGAAGTTGGGATTCTGCAGTAGTGCATGGCTCAGCTCTGCCCTGCTGCTCTACAATATCCCATTTTGTTTCCTGATCTGTTAGGAAGAGACTGCTGTGTGAGGCTGCTGTGCTGCTAAAAGCACTGCACAGCACCCGGCTGGCATCATTAACGTGGTGGTGTGGGCACCATTAACGTGGTGGTTTGCAAACTGGCGTTTGCAAAACTGATGACAATACCCTGGTAAGAAGTGGGTGCATCTGATGTCAATGGGTTTTGGTGCATCTGTGTAAGATTTTGCATGAGTGTTCCACAAGGAACCTGGTGTTTTGGCCCTCTGGAAATAACACTGGTTTGCAGTAGTGGCTGGGGTAGGTGAAGTTGGTTTTCCCATAAGTGGAAAAGCTCAGTGCATGTCTGTATTGCTTTTTAAGGTTTATGTCTTTTACTGTTGGCTCCTCTGGTCTCCTTTGTCCACCTGGGTACCACAGTGGGGTCTGGGGGGTACTGTAAAACCAGGAGTGTTCCTCTGATCCTGCCAAAGGAGGTACAGAATGAAGGGGATGAGGACACCTGCAGACACGGCTCTGTCAATGCAGTGGAACACGAGGGGCTGACAGGGTTTGCTGTCAGCTCATGCCAGAGCTCATCCCGGGCTGAGATGCGCTGCGCTGCTGGGATCTGGACGGTGCTGAAAGGATGGTGCTTTTCTTTTTCTCTCCTCCTTTGTGTGCCTGAAGACCACTGGTGAAATCAAGACATCGGTCTGAAGGGAAAGAGATTTGTGCTGAGGTGAGCCAGAAAGCCCAGGCAAGGTGCCAGAGGTGCTCTTAGGGCTGCTCAGTGTTTCAAAGCGCAGCAAGACAAAGCAGAATAGATGCTACAGTGCTCTCAGCAGAGACATTGGGGCTGTTCAGGTGCTGTGTTGCTCTCAGGTTGAAATGCCAACTCTCTTTTCATCTTCTGCCTTGTTTACACTTAAAAACCAATTATCACTGGGGTTGATAGTCCCAGATTTCATTTCACCATCATCAGGGGTTCCTCCCTCCCTTCCCATGCTCTTGGCTGTAGCAGTTCCAGCTCTGGAAAGTGCTCTTATTAAAGCTTCTCTGTGTTGTTTTTCTCTGAGGTTAAAATATTGGATCTTTTTTGCCTTAGCAAAAGGTGGACGAATTAAAACAGGTTCCTATATGTATGTGTGCATCTTAACACTATTGTTTTAGTGTTTAAGGATGGA